TATCGTTTGATTCTTACTGGAACACCATTACAAGTATGAAGAAACATATATATAATATATTAATAATGTCATTTTTTTTAAAGTAGCATTTGATTATTAATCATTTCTATCTTTTCTCCCAAAATAATTTTATTATAGAATAATTTACCAGAGTTATGGTCATTGTTAAATTTCATATTACCAAAAATATTTGACTCTGTTAAAAGTTTTGATGAATGGTTTAATACACCATTTGCAAACACAGGTGGTCAGGATAAAATAGCTTTAAATGAAGAGGAATCTTTACTTATCATTAGACGTCTACACAAGGTACAATTTTAAATTATAAAAAATAAAAAAGATATTTATATAACCACTGAACGGCTTGACAACCAGTCAATCTGGCAACGATTCACTAACATCTATGAATCATGCATTATTAGGTTTTAAGACCATTCCTTTTACGTAGATTGAAAAAAGATGTAGAGTCGGAATTGCCTGATAAAATTGAAAGGGTGATTAAATGTAAATTATCAGCTTTACAACTTAAATTGTACAATCAAATGAAAAAACTTGGCGTTTTATTCGTAAATACTGGTGAAAAAGGGTATGTATTAATTAATGACTAAGCATAATTCATTAATTAAATTTATATACGTTTTATTTATATAACATTTTTCTCTCTTGCTCATTTTTTTTAACATAGAAAAACTGGTATTAAAGGACTTAACAATACGATAATGCAATTACGTAAAATTTGTAATCATCCATTTGTATTTGAAGAAGTGGAAAAAGATGTCAATCCATATTTAAATAATGATCTTCTGTATCGTGCTTCTGGCAAATTTGAATTATTAGATAGGATTTTACCAAAATTCTACAAGACTAATCATAGAGTATGCATAATATATAACATCACACACACACACACACATATATATGTATATATGTAATATACAATATTAATTATTATGTTTCTGTTTATATAAAGGTATTGATATTTTTTCAAATGACTGCCATCATGACAATTATGGAAGATTTTCTAAGTTGGCGTGGTTTCAAGTATCTACGTTTGGATGGCATGACAAAGGTAGATATTATTTTAATTATAGAATTCGATATTATTATTTTATTTATTTATTGATTTTTAACAATAATTACTATGATGATAGGCTGAGGATAGATCAGAATTATTGAAAAAATTTAATGCACCAGATTCACCATATTTTATATTTTTATTAAGTACAAGAGCTGGTGGGCTTGGTCTTAATTTACAATCGGCTGATACCGTTGTGATATTTGATTCTGATTGGTAATTTTATTATTTTTATACTTGTTCGTATGTATCCAATTGGTGATAGAATGATCATAAATATTTACTTGTCCTTATTTCATTAACTCGTATAAATGTAAATAGGAATCCACATCAAGATTTACAAGCTCAAGATCGTGCACATCGTATTGGACAAACTAGAGAAGTTAGAATATTAAGACTCATATCACAAAAGTCCATTGAAGAAACAATTTTAGCTAGAGCTCAATTTAAACTTGATATTGATGGTAAGGTAATTCAGGCTGGTAAATTTGATAATAAAAGTACGGCTGAAGAACGTGAGGCCTTTCTGGTATGTTTTAATTTATATTTTCAAGAAAAATAATCATAAAAAAATAACATTATTAACATCATAATCATCATTATTATTATGATAGCGTTCATTATTGGAAAATGATAATGATGAAGTCAATGATGTCGAAGAAGAGGAGTTGGATGATGATGAGTTGAATGAAATTATTTCAAGAAATGAAAATGAGTTTATCCTATTTAAAACAATGGATATTGAAAGAAATCAGAACGAAGAGAGGGAGTGGTATTTAAAAGGTGGTGAAGGGAAGAAACCCGAGAGATTGATAGAGGAAAACGAATTGCCGTCTGTTTATATGAAAGATTATGAAACTGTTATAAATTATGGCGATGATGACAATATTGAGTATGGTCGCGGCCAAAGAGTTAGAGGAAATGTTCATTATGATGATGGATTAACAGAAGATCAATGGGTGAATGTGCGTGAAGTTTAATATATATTTTTTAAGATGATAAAATGAGAAATATTTATTTAAACAATATTTATTTGATTTCATTAGGCACTCGAGGATGAAGAAATTGAACTCGATGATCTGATTGCTAAGAAACAAGCAACTAAAAAAAGAAGATTAGAAAAGAAAGTTAAAAGAACGATAACGCAACAACCAGAAGAAGAACCATCTCAACAAGGAAGTACATCAAAGCCTAATGTTGTCTATTCAGATGAGATGATGGTTGTTGACAACATGTCAGATTCAAAGAAAAAAAGGGGAAGGCCACGTAAAGATGAATCATTATCTTTTGATAAGATCAGCCACAACAACAATAATTCCGATTTGACATTACACAAATTAATTAAAAAGAAAGGGAAAGCAAAAAGAGAGTTTGGTGGTTATGATGAACAGACAAATGATGAAACATTTTCTGAACAAACTAAAGTTTGTATTATTTACAAGTGTATAATTGTATTGATATATGATGACCATGACTTAATAATAATATTGTTGATGAATTTTTTATAGAAAAAGAGGAAAATATCTAAAAAGAAGAATGAGGAAATTCTTGACGACGTACCACCACAAAATCGTGAAAAAATGAGAAAAATATTTATAGAATGTTATTCAGAAGTAGATAATTTGATGGATGTATCCAATGGGTAAATAAATAAAATTATTTTAAAAAAAGTTGCAAATTTATTTTCCTCGTATTTTTATTTACCCAAAAAAATATATGAATAGTGAACCACGTCATAGAGCATATCTTTTTCTTACACTTCCAAAAATAAGAGATTATCCATTATACTATCAAATCATCACAAATCCTATAGCTATGGACACTATTAAAAAAAGATTAAAAGGAATTTATTACAAAACAGTACAACAGTTTAAAGAGGATTGGCATCTAATGTTTAATAATGCTAGAGCTTTTAACGAAGAAGGATCACAAATTTATAATGATGCTGATAAGATGCAGGTAAAGTCAACAATTCAATAATAATAATAATAATAATAATATTATTATTATTATTTAAATTATTTATTTGATCAATTATTTTGCAGGAGGTACTTGATAAAAAACTTGAAGAACTTTGTCCAGGTGGTGAATTACCAAAAACTTCTACTGATGACATGATCTTATAGTAATTGAACAATGAATTAATTAATGAATGAATGCTTCTTTAAGTCGTTAATTAATTAAATTTTATTTAAAAAGATTTTTGTTTTGCTAATAAATGTATTTAATTTACAAAAAAAAAGAGCACTATAGACAATTTAAAAAAAAGATATATAGCACAAACAATTTTATAGATTTTTAATTTATTTCGCAATATTTTTTTTCAACTAATTGATTAAAAAAAAAAATCTTTTTTAATTAAAATTTTAATGTAATATAAAAGAAAATAAAATAGATTAGTTTTTTCACACAAATGATTTTTTATTATGGATAATTTGAAATTGAATACTATTTTATAAATTTTTTTTCTTTTCCAATATCGAATACTATTAGAGTTTAACTTTTAGCCAAAGATTTTTTATTTGATATTAAACTAGCCCGCAAACATTTTCGGTTGATTACATATTTGTCTTTGAAAAATTTCCTATCATTGACATATCACCAAAGAATTGCAAGAATCGAAGTTTACTCAAACGAAGGACTTGAGACTTCTTAGTGATTCAGATCTTTCAGGCCTTAGTATTAGGACATTGCGCATCTCTTAGACACAGCCATTGGCCGTTACTCAAATTATTTTGATAATGTTTAAGAACTCTTTTGAAAACAGACTCAGCTTCAATTGCTGAATTATAGACATTATCTATGATACATACATTCCAAACATTAGATTTTTTAATAATGCGTAATGTGGGATCCATAAGGCATTCTTCAAGATTCATCATTTCTTGTCCCTGCTGCATTTACTGATACTAAAAAATCATAAAAATCATAAAGCTTTGAAAAAGTAAACGAGGCTTCCTACATAAACTAGAAATCATTCTTGCAAGCTATATTTTTGCGCCTTTAAATCTAACTGAAACGATTATTGAATACGATACGTTACAATTTTTGTTTTTATCAATTTGTTTGCAAATATAATCCGACTGCCTTCAATTTACACTTTCAAAAAATACTTTACTATTAATTAATCCATATGGCTTCAATGGCAACGCGGAACAATATTCTCCCAATGAACTCGGCTCTCCAGTGAATGCTTTCCCTATCTTTTAAGTGATTAAGCCCCGATTGTATTTCAATGTTTTCATACTCTCGTTGAAAATTGTAAAGATTCCATTCAAGTTTATTTTATGAGATTTAAAAAAGCTTGAGCTACAAATAAACCTGGCGACTTTGATAATATCGGATTGGTGGTATCTTCATTCATACAAGAAGCGGATGATTTATTAAAGGATTCGGTGTTATAATCAAATGAATGTTTTGATGGCTATAAAGCTTAGTGTTGTTATAATATACTGATCTGGCCAGCGTTGGCATTTTTATATGTCCAATTGGTGCAGTAGCCGTTTGGACATTGGCATATTGGACTGTCCAATATGCCAACATTTGAAGATTCACAATATAAAATATAATGCTTTGGAATTCATTCTTTAACATCACGCATTTATAACTCCAACAAATATGCTCTTTATTTATATTGTAGAAATGCCTTGGGTCATGAAGTTGCTCACCAGAATAAATTTTTGAATAAAAAATATAGAATTAAGTCACATATAAAAATTGTGAAAATTTCAAAGTGGCCAAATTTCAAATTTTAAAGTTTTTCAATTCATCTATATATAAATATATATATGTAAATGCAATAATATCTTTAACACACAATATCAAATTGCATATTTAATAATGCCTAAAGACAATTTATTGGAATGAATACTTGAGTAAAATAAAAAATATCGACGTGTTAATGTTACTGTTACACGATTTTTAAAAAAGGATCTGTAGATGTCATAATTTCCAAATTTAAGCCAAATTCCTCGCGAACATAGTAAAATATATGTACTAAAAAGGAATAGAACTCAACAACCCATCAATATTTTGAAAAAACTCTCTGTCACGTTAAAGTTTGGGTCATAATCTGAGCTATTTTTTTAAAAATGATATACAGAAATAAACTTCTATTCTTTTAAAATCACACACAGAATTGGTGGTTTAAGAGGTCCCGCGCCATACTAATAGATATAATATGGGGCATGCTACAACAAAACCAGACAAAGTGAAAATTATGTCACACACTATTACAGGGATTCAAATTGCCTAATGTCTTTATTTTCGATTTTTAAAAAAAAAAGTATTATTGTTATAGAAAAATTTTTGCCATAATAAAAATTATCAATATTTTAAAAAATACTAGATTTAAATGTAAAAAAAAAACAAGTCCGTACTAATTATGAGCATTGTTATTATAAAAGCCATATAATATTGGCTTTTTTTTGAGAGGCATATTGAATGTTTTGATTAATCTTTCTATTTCATCAATGCCTTCACCATTTTCTTTGTCATCACCATTATTACTATTACCATTATCATTTTTCCCTGAGTGCTCTCTCAAGTAATTTAAAGTTTCGCAAACTTTCTTCAATCAAAATATTTAAAAACCTTAATTTTTTGAAACAGTTTAGAAAATTTTCACCAGCGAACAATTGGAAGTTCTATTTGTAGAATCTGATTCATTACAAAAAGAGGTGGTATCTTCCTTTCTAGCACATATACATCCATATTAGTTCCTAGTGGTAAAATTGTCAGTTTTTTATAATCATGGTATGCATATAGTTTATTGGAATTAGGAACATTACCATGAATGTGTAAAATTTTAATTTATTTAAAGTATTTAAAATGACCCTGTCAATAAGATTTTGATAGTTAATGTAATTATAAATATAGTCCTAAGAGTCTTTACAATAACATCCAAGGTCAATTAGATATCTCCATATAAATAATCTCGAAATTCAAGTCCTCAAGTTTAGTTTCATATACCCAAAAGTTATCTGGGCAACGTCTAGGACCAAGCTGATTATTTCTATTCTTGGTGGCTGTGCTTTCAACTGACATCCAATAAAAGTTCTACTCCTTCTATATTATATCGTAAAAAGTCCACCAAATGGCATACGAAGTCATGTGAGAATGTACCATCTGTAATTGACGACTTCTCTTTCTTGTACTTTTTTCATTCCAAATTGTATTTCTAATAAAATATAAAAAATAAGGTTACATATTTATTTAATCATTTAGACCCTTGTAATCAATATTTTTTTTAGAAATTTTACATATAATAATTAAAGAAAGAAAATGTTGTACATACATGGTATTTAAAAAAAAATTTGTTACTTTACATAATCCTAACAGTTCAGTAGACATCTCATTCTTATATTTTTTCTTGGTCTTTATTTTTGTCATAAAATTTTGCAATATACCATTCATAAGATAAAGGAAGGTCAAAAATATCAACCAAAAGAAAAAGGTTATCCCAATATCTCGCCTCTTTTAATTTGGTGACAGTTTCTTTTGTTCCTTCTCCAATTCTAATTTTAACACTAATAATTCATAACCATTAAATAATTTCATGTCAAAAAACTTTCTTATGACTTTTATCACCTCACTACGGGTCTGATTCATTTCGTCGACAGTCATTTCGTTGACACCCATTTCGTCGAATGTTCATTTCGTCACAAAAAAACAACCTCATTAAACAAATTTCTCCTCACACTTCCCACGCACTCCGCTTTCCTCACCTAATTGCTTAACTAACTTCACACACTCCTCACATCTAACTCGTTCGGTCTCTGGCTCGAGGATGAAATAATTTTTGACGAAATGAACATTTGGTGGAACAAACTTTCGACGAAATAATTTTCGACGAATTAAACGCGACCGAATTTGAATCATTTTGTTGTACTGTAAATAAAATTCAAAAATTACTTTTTGAAAAAAATTTCGTTTTCTTGTATATAGTATTAGTATCAGTATAATTGTTACGCATGTTACGTAAGTGGGATAAAAAATTCTAACAAAAATTTTTATATATACAGTATATATTAACAAGTGGGATTTTTTATATCTATTTATATACAGTATATATTAAACAATGTCAATAGAAGCACATGAAGAAACTTCAAACTTATCGAACAATAATAATAACAATAGAGGCTTCTTTGTCAATAATTATAATGATTCTAACATTAATAACAATATTAGTTATGATAATTAAAGAGAAACAACGTCAAAACAAATACATTTACAATCTCAACGTTCACAACCTAATCCTTCTTTACAATAATCTGAATAGTTATAAAATGTTCGTCATCAAGGATCGCAACCATTTCATCATAACAACAATAATCCAGCATCAGAATCTCTGTTGCTTTCTATTGATTTACCATATTATTTGATAAGTAAAACATGGACAAGTGAAAATTAGGAACCTACTAAGAAAACTTGCTAGAAAAAAACTATAGACAATGTAAATGATGCATCAAGAATGTGTAAGGAGGCTGTATTTAAAGTAAAGGATCTGGGCAACAAAAATATTTTGCAGCTGCAGATGCATGTTCTGCAATATAATATCAAGGTTATAATCGGAGCTGTAAATCAATTGATTTTGGTCAAGGGGAAAGAGTTGTAGATATATGTGGTGAAAATATTCATGAAAATATGACGAAAAGGAGAAAATAACAATAAATTGTTTATTTAAGATTCTTCATTGAAACGTCAGATGATGGTCAGCTTCGATTTGTGGATGGTAACTCAAGTGTCGACCTCCTCTCAACTATAGAGACCAGCAACGTCTAAGGTTTGGGTGCATTTTACCAAAGAGCTCATTAGAAATTCTAAAAGTCATTTTCTGCTAAATGCTTCAACGTAGAGAAGTGTCAAGACTTGCAAATTACTGTATTTGATGTGACATCGAAATAAGAAAGAGTATCTTGAATAAATTAATCAGGGAAATGTTAGACGCGATAGCTTTTCACTTTCTTCAGTACAAAAGGTGGTTATTTTTATGATTATTGTGAAGTTAATAAAACTGAAAGTTATTTATTATCAGAAACGGAGATGATTATTCAAAACAAGAACATAATAGTGTTAATAATAGTCCTACAAACAATGAAGTTAATAAATAATCTTGGAAATAATTGAAAAAATCATCACAAATGATGATAATAATAATAATAATAATCCTTGAAACTTGGTTTAACAAAATGCCAACCAAAAAATCAAATCAAAAGAACATTATTTATGTATTTGTCTGAGTCAGATAATAAAGTGTAAAATATTATATACACAAAATTTTGTATTTATTTTTTTTTGTATAATATTGTATAATGCATAAATATATATATATATTTGCGGATTAACGGGTCCTCAATACTTCAAAAACCTGAAGGTCAGTATCTGTTTGGTTAAGGTAATTATCGGGTAATTTAAAAAAAGTGTTTCAAAAACTCTAAAATTACATAAAAAAGTTCTTTTCGTCAACTTTTTCCTTTCGTCATGTAGTTTTTGTATCTTTTCTATGTTAAAAAACACACCTGATACTTGATGCTGATACTTTATGCATGAATGTTTTAGAAGAATTCTGCATGCGCAATACAAACTGACCGTGATACATGCGCGTATGGCCAGTTATTTTAGAACGGATGCGTGAGTAATTTTTCTTTAATATTAATAATACGTGTGTAAAAAACTCAAGTTTCGAATTATTACATTAGTCTTTTCTTCTTAATTTCGTTAACACACTTCATTTCTGACGTTTTTTCTTGCAGATGCTTTAGGAGTATAGGTATTGGTTACTACTGTGGTAAAGAACTAGGTAAATCATGAAGTTTTGAACCTTTATCTTCGCACATTATCCCTAATATAACTTATTGTTTTTATTATTTGGGCTGTGGCTATCGACAAAACCTCTGGTATTGTCCATATCATGGTGACGTGGCTAGGTAGGTTGGCAACTGCAATTTTTGTTATGACCCCCCTGGCCGAAATAGCTACAGTAAGAAAGCTTTGTTCATAAATAATGACTAAGTCTACTACATTATTATTATTATGTATTTATTATTATTATAATTGGCTACGAGTTCTTATTTTTCTCAAAATTTTTCTTCTAAATTTGTATCATTTTTTTCTATAATAAATCATAAAATTCAAACAAGGTCGACTGTTTATTTCGTAAATAATTCAAAACTGAAATTACAAGATATTTGCTGTTAAAATGTTTCATGCATGCTTTCCAAAAATAATTGAATCCCATCTGTGACAATTAAACTCAAAATTTGTTAATGTGTCAATTATTTGTTTTTAATTCTAATAGGAACCAGAGAACATAATGAATAATCCAATTAACTTCCATAATACATTTAGCTTTTTCCCAGTTTTTGAACATCAATTTTATAATAAAAAAAAATTTTATGTTTATTCTCAATTTTGTGTAACATGTGATTTATTAATGTAACAAAAAAAAATTAGTTTTTTAAAAAAAAAAATGTTTAATTTCCCACATGAACTTCTATCTGAAATATTCAATTACATTGAATATAACACATTATATTCTTGTATTCTTGTCAACAAACAATGGCACAATATTAATATTCAGACTTTATGGAGAAATCCATTTCTTTACAAAGACAGTACAAAAATATTAATTGTTTATTGGAAGAAGATAAGGATTTCTTGGCTCGAAATTACATTGAATTAACTTTTGAACTATTGAAGAAGCCACCATTACATAATTATACCAGATTTAGTAGTACTAGGAAAATCAAGCTTCCAGCTATTTTTTTTTTTTTTGTCTTTTTACTCAATAATAATCTCTAATAAAGGATTTACAATTGGTGAAAAAATTGGACCCTATTTGCATAGTAGAAAAATGAGATACAAGGCTTGTAATATTTTCTTTGTATATTAAAAACATATGTGTAACCAAATTTATAAGGGTTGTTACCAAAAATAGATTTTTTGTCTGGAAGGTCGATTTTCCTAGTACAGACCCCATATTATTTTCTTATAGATCCCAACTGATACAACTGATAAAAAATGATACATCAATAGATTGTGTACAAATTTTAAAAGATAAATTAATAAATTTTATTTTAGATCATTCAGCAGGTATCAAAAATCTTATTACGTGGGATTATATAGGTTTAGATTATAATTTGTTATTTAATCATCATAGATTTAATAATATCTTTCATACTCTTTATGAATTAAATTGTTTCGGTTTTGATAATAATAATAGTAGTAGTAGCATATTTGTTGATAAATTAATGAAAGTTTGTAAAAATATCCAATCATTAAGAGTATATAATAATAGTAATTATAATAATATATATAAATTGGCACAACTAATTAAAGCACAAAAGAAAATCAAATATTTAGTCATTGAATCTAGACAAACTTTACCAGATGAATTCAAAGAAGCAATATTAGCACACTCACAATCAATAACTCTTTATGAATCTATTGGAGGAAACAATTTGGATGATTTATTAATACCAACATTTAAAAATTTAGAAGCTTTAAGATTAACTGCTAATTATGGACATAAACTAAAAAATTTGAAAAATATTTCACTACCAAATATTGAATCTGTGGATGTATTTATTGATGGATATCAAATATTCTTATCAGACTTGTCTGATTTTATTAATATCAATGGAAAAACTCTTAAAAATCTGGATGTTTATGGTGAATGTTATAACAATCTAGATTACGAAATTATGAGGAAGCTATTTCAATCAATTGCACAATCTTGTAAAAATTTAGAAAATTTATCAATAATTTATGGAGATGGATTAGATCAGGAATTAATGGAAGTACTCAATAGTTGTACAAAGTTAAAACGTATTACATTTGATAATTGTTCTGGTGAAGAAGAATTTCATATACTTGATTGTGATATAATATTAACAGTATTAAATCAAACACTGCCAAAAAATTTAGGATCAATATTTTCTACTGATTTGGTTTCTAATATTAATGACTATTTGTTAGATATTCTAATGAAGAATTGGAGAGGACCCAAACCTTTAACAATGGAATTTGATTATAAAGATGATGATGATGAATCAAAGACAATATTAAAAAAATATCAAGATTTAGGGTTTTTAAATTAATTTTTATTTGTGATTTTTTAATGTAATTTATTATAATATATTATACATGTATTGTAATGATACTATTACTATCATTGACAGCAAACATCAATTAGATGGCAAAGAACAGTTGGCTGACATTAGTATTAACTTGACAATTAATGGCATGAAGTGAAATGAAAAGAACTTGTAATATTTTCCATATAAATAATTATCTCAAACCTCCACATAAGAATAATATAATCTTCCTAATAATCTATAACAACAATTCCTCTAATTAATTAATCATTCATCCCTATAAAAATAACAAACAAAATTTCCATATGCTAAATATGTTCTAAAAAAAAAAAGATGCAGAATTAACATACTTGTTATGCAGTTGAAAAAATTTGCCCTTTTGTAAATTTAACACAAGCAAATAATTTTATCAAGACCATTTGCTTTTTTAGTTATTAAGTGTTAATGTAAGAATTGAGATTATGATTGCAAAAGCTACATTCTAAAATAAATAATTATGAAGTTGATCCAGGTATGTCATATTATATAATAGGCTAAAATTGATAAGGTATCATTGTATTAGATGTTATGCAATCCTGACTATTGTTTAATAATAATTATTATTATCTAATTTTATTATTATTAGCTTTATAATCTAGTTCATTAAAGTACCTGAAATAAATAATGGTGTCAATATTTGGATGGCAAAAGAATTTAAAACTAATGTTAACAATTCAGAATTTATTAACACTGGTTTTATTATTAAATAAAATTGAAAAAAAAATGCCAAAGTGGGTGAAGGGAAGAAGAAAAGGACAAGAGCTTTTCAAAAAAAAGCAGGCAAGTGTTATTATTAAAAATAATAGTGGTTATCACCATTTGTTATCACTCTAGTTTAATTAATTTAATTAATTTTTGCTCAGTGTTTCAGCAATTTCGGCTACTAAGAGAAGTAATTATATTATTATTATTATGTATGTAGAAATTGTTTTGATTGTCAGAAATCCCCAGGAATTCCAATTAGTAATTATCCAATGAACATAACCATTATTAATTGAATTGACTAACAAAAAATGATTTGTTTTAATTATGTTCCTTTCCCATGTTAAAAATCATTAAAAAATGCTGTTTACATAGAAGATTGATTACCAATCATTAACTGTACATGCATTAATGGATCCTTTACCACCAGATACACATTTATCACCTTCTTCCAAAGGTCTTGCTCTTTATTAGATAATAGTACACCTTCATTCTGCTTTCTTTTCTTAAGGGTAGAGTGTAGTCATGTGATTTTTCATAACAACTTGCTAGGGAGAGTAGTGTTCTAACTGAAAATCAAATTTTTTGCAAATATTCAAAAATCAATTTATTCAAGGATATATAATTTATTTCATAATTGGTTAGAAAAAATATTAGATTTGAAAAAATATTTTGTTTTTAATTTGGGTAAAGAAGTGAAAACTTGCCAGCAAGCAGAAACAAAAAGCGAAAATGTTCACTCAATTTCAACAAGTTTAAGCAGCGACCAAAGCAAAAGGATACAGACTAATAATTGGAACATGTAATTATTTTGGATTATGTATATAAACTTACATACTTCCAGATTTCCTAGAATTTAGTCAATTAGAAAAGGAGTTGATTATTGTGAAAAAACAATTCAATGCATAAATTTCTTTAATAATTGCTCTAAAGTCTACATAATAATATGCTTCAAAAATTTTATGTGCTATAATCTAAGATCCTCTGATTCTCTGGTATAATTTTTATTATAGTTTTGGTTACTTTTCATTCAAAAGAATATTTTACAAACTGCCATTTTTTTTTAACACACTGTATATATAAAATTAATTAAATAATTATGTATTTCTCTTTTAGTGAGTCAATAAACAAGTCATTACTTATCTTTTTAATCGTTTCCTTGAATGTGAATGAGTGTATTTGTCTCCATAAATTGTGCATGTCATTATAATATTAGTGATTATTATTTGATATATTAAATAAATTGCATCATCCAAGTAATGATAATACCAAGACCATTCAAAATGAAAATTAAGGAACCAATTTGGGAAAGGCCACATGATATTGTGAATTAACTCAGGTCACAAAAATAATTAAATAATTATTTTCCTTCCCAAATGCATACAATCACAAGCCATAGAGTTCCTTGAAAAATGAAAATGAACAAATCTGATATTGATCATAGGAGGAAGGTTGGCATTTGGACAACATCCAATATGTTTAAGGTGTATTGTGACTTGTCATTGTGAATCAGGTGAGTTGGTGATGAGTTTGGTTGGGTTATTTTGTGTTGGTGATTGAGATAGCAGAGTTGGAGTTGCTTAAGTAAATGTTGTGGTTTGTGATGTCATTGTTGATCCTACACTTAATATTATTGTCAGTGTGGATTCGAAACTACAGTTGCAGGATATATCCATGTCCAATGCCAACCTGTCCATAAGTATCAGATTTGATAAACTATTCCTTGTACAAACAAGCGGTCTTCTCTCCACATAACCATTACAGTTGTGGAAGCCGGTCAAGTTGGTTAGTAGACTTTGAGACAAGTAAGAGACTTTAACATCTCCTTGACAACAAAATGCAATTTCAATAAGTTCCAGAGCCAAGGGTCCCCCTGGAAATTTGCATCGTTGTATCCTTGGGGTAGCTTGGTATATTAGCCTTTGACGCCAAGAAATAAAAGAATAACTGTGATATTGAGTCCTGAATATTTATAAAATTCATTAAACAATCAAACGTTATATTTCTTGATGTTCCAAAAGGAGTTTTTCATGAGTGTGAGAGAGATATTTAACGGTAACGCTGCCTTTTTACTTTTATTCATGATAAAGAATCTTATAAAAAAGGCATCACGTCTAAAAAAAAATTTTTAAAAATACATCACGCTCTTATAAAAATTTTTTTTCCTATATATATATACCGTATTCTCCCGAATATAAGCAACACCATTTTAACACATTTTAGTCAACAAAACTGCAGGTGTTGCTTATATTTGGGAGATTTTGTTTGTGTTACATTATGTTTCCTTATTTCATCATTTGTGTTAAGTTTTATTCATTTTTTTCCCACGCAATGCCAAAAGTCAAACGTTCTTCATATTCTGTTGCTGAAAAGCTCCAAGTTTTGCAATATGCAAAACAATATGGTTTAAGATCAGCTGGGCATCATTTTACTATTGATCCTTCAATGATTTCTCGTTGGCAAAAACAAGAGGAAGAACTCGATTTAGTAAAACAAAAAAAGAGAAGACGAATTGGTAATAATTTAGGAAGAAAAGCAAAATATCCTGAGGCTGAAGCTGAATTAAAGGCATGGATTGTTGAATTTCGGCAAGATGGAATTGCTGTAACTCCTAAAATTGTTAAAACTTACATGAAAGAACTTTTAGCAAACCAATTTTCTAATATTTATCCAGGTGCCAGTGAAAAATTTCTTGCATCAGAAAGTTGGTTCTATCGCTTTCTTAGAAGGTATGATTTTGCAATGAGACATAAAACAAAGATTGGTCAGAAGCTTCCCGCTCACCTTGACATCAAACTTCTCGAATTTCAACAATTTATTATAAAAAAACAAAAACAATTTGAATACGAACTTTCAGAAATTGGAAATATGGATGAAACTCCTGTTTATTTTGATATGGTTGGAAATTTAACAATTGATAAACATGGTGCAAAAACTGTGCAAGTTCGAACAACTGGAAATGATAAAAACCGTTTTACATGTGTCCTTACAATTCTTGCAGATGGTACAAAATTACCACCAATTGTTATTTTCAAAGGTAATTAAATTACAAAGAATTTACCTTCTCATCAAATCATTGTAATAATAATTGTCATTTTTAAAGGTAAACGAATGCCAAAGAATTTACCTTCTCAAATCATTGTACTAATGCACCCAAAAGGATGGATGGATGAAATTGGAATGAAAGCTTGGTTTGATAAGGTTTGGAAAAGAAGACCTGGAAATAGAATTACAAGAAAAAAAGCTTTACTTGTTATGGATAGCTTTGAAGGCCACAAGACAGATTCTATCAAAAAAATTGCACAAAATGAAAACACTGATTTAGCAATCATTCCAGGTGGTCTTACCTCTGTTGTTCAACCACTTGATGTTTGTATTAACAAACCATTTAAAGATAGACTTCGTGAAAAGTGGAATACTTGGATGAGTTCAGGTAATTTCACCTATACCAATAACGGAAATTTAAGAAAGCCTGAACATAATGTCATTTGTAAATGGATTTTGGAGGTTTGGGATGAAATTCCGAATGAAATGATTGTGAAATCATTTAAAAAGTGTGGCATTAGTAATGCAATTGATGGATCGGAAGATCATTTGTTTGGACAAGCTTATGGGGATGAAAATGAAGATGAGGAAGATGAATGTGAAATACTAGATAGAAACGATGATTCAGCTGATGAATTAGAAGGGGAAGAGTCTGGTGATTCTGAAAAAGAATAATCAAAATAAAAAAATTTTCTTATTTTTTTATTTATTATATAAAAATAAGAAATCAAATAAAAAATTTTCAAAAATATAGGTGTTGCTTATATTTATTTTTCTATTTTTTCTGTTTTTTTGTTGCAAATTCTTACTGTTGCTTATATTCGGGTGTTGCTTATATTCGGGAGAATACGGTAATTAAAAACAATCCGCAGATGTGCGAATCTCCGGAGATACAAATTCTGATTGGCTAATTTCAAATTCACGAAAATAATTTATTCGCATAAAATGATGAGGATTTATTAACAAGTACATCATATTAAAATATTGAAGATTACTTAAGAAGTACATACAATAATAATTTAAACAATTTACGAAAATAACAGAAATAATTCAAAGAACTAATTGTATTAGCCACACACAAAACATATGAATAGTAATATTACTATATATTACGATCATGTTAATTGATTTTGCACGTATAAAGTGAGTGGATTTTATTTAAATTTTTAATAAATTCTATTCTCAATATCATTACTATCATCTATTATACTTATTTATACTCATTATAACCATAATATTTTATATACTCATTATATTATAAATCTTTATTTTATACATGGAATCATAATGAGGTCAGTCTGCGGCTTTTATGATACTTATTAACACATGTTACTTTTACTTATCAACATTTTCGTCTTTTAAAGGTATATACTACATATAAACAAGAAGGTTACTCAAGGCCAGTATCCAAGGGTTTAAACCCCCAAAGTTAGCTTGATTATTAAGGACACTATCATCCGTTGTGTTGACACTACTGTGAAGATGGGATTTAATTCTTTTCTTGTAGAACCTGAATTACATAATGTAATGGAAGATGTAGTTGAAAGAATGACATCAATTATAGAAGAAGCATCACAGCTTCCACAAGCACTAATTATATATCGTGTTTAAAACAATGTATATATCATTCCAAGGTTAGATTACTATCATGGTTGCGCAAGAAATTTTTTATTGCAATTTGTCATCATTCAGCAAGCCAAGAAAATTCCCAAAGACCATATCATCACCACTTGTCAATCATGTAGGTGACACTATATATGCTCGCTGTAAACCTGGAAACGGGTCTTGTAATGATAATAGTTACATTTGCATTTTATCCAAACACGCAAAATTTTTTATTATAAATTTCAAATTCACACAAACTAATCAAATATCTATTTAACGTTTAAGCTATCTTTCTAATATAATCTCTCCAGCTGCTCGTCAATATGCAAGTAACTGGCAAGTGATGGTAACAACAAACATCCTCAATCGTTTGTGCTGTTGGGTATCATGAAAGTTATACCATTCCTTCCACAAAGAAAAATACAATCATTTGCACAAAAATCCTCAGGCGCATCATCGCCTCAAAGTCATTTAACTTGCCAACCTCCATCATTAAATGAATTACTCCTTGGCAGAAGCTATTGTAGAAATGAGCAAGCACTACATCCATGTAATACAATCCTTTGTGATTTATCACTAGCTGAACAAGATGTTAAATTTGCTTTGGTGACAATACCTTCTTCCACTATATATAAAATATTAAAGATAAACAACATGAGAGATGCTCAAGCAAGAGAACAAGCAAGAAGGATGGGTTATGGTTTCTGTTTATTTGACTTTGTATCTAACACCAGTTTCAAAAGCAGATATATTCCAATTCAAGCAAATGCTCTTTTTGATTTGTTTTGTTCAATTGATTTTGCTGACATGGACTAACGATGACAGAATTTGGAAATGATGCCTTAAACTGGTATTTAATATTGATAAGGCGAATGTTTATTTTGATTGCAATATTTTCTTCACTTGTAAAACCTAAGATAAAACCTTTCTTTTTTTTAAAGGTGATTACACAACCTAATGATGATACAAGGGGGCAAAGATTTGGCCTTAGCATCATGATAGATACTGTGAGTATTTCTATCCTTGTAACATAGCCAACAATCCAGTGAGGGTGGTGTGAATGACTATGGTTTTGATCAAGATGGGAATTACCAACCATTGGACATCCAACCTGGTGACATATGTGTTGGCTGGATCAGGAAGAAAAACCTTCATTATGATGTTAAATTCATTGATTTCAAATTTTAAAAATATATATCCAACTTATAATTTTTAACAATGTCCTCAATCACAAATAAAAAAGTAAAAAAACAAAAGAGAATTAATAAATAAAGCTAGACATGAGTAAGTATGGTTAGAGCATGATTGCTTTGAGAGCTATTAAAAAAAATGGTAGTGATTATTTGTCATTCTAGTTTAAATATTTATAAATTTGAATTTTTATTTACTTGGAAAGAATGATTCTAAGATAATGAGATTGTTGCAGATCCCTTGACCAATAAAAATATAAATTTTTCTATTCGTGATAAAAACACTTTGAATAAAAGTGATGATGATAATACAATAAGCACTTTTAACAAAGAAGATGATATTATTAGAATTTTTCCAATTAATAACAATAAAGATCATTCTATTTATGACAACAATTTTAAATAAGGATGGTGATGATGATCTAGCACATACTTCTAGTGATATTGTCGTAGTTCCTTCGATCAATAATGATGACAATAATAATGAGGATAAGGTAGGTCTTCTATTCGAATAAGGTTTATTCGAATTATTCGTTTTATTCGTTATGAATTTGAGTATTCGAATTACATTGAAAGTTCATTCGAATAAAACTAGCAGTTCAAATAAAACTAGCAATTCGAATAAATAACAATTCGAATGATCCAACATATAAATAAATAAATAATTTAAGGATTTAATAGAATTCAAACTTGGTCGATTTGTGATTAGTATATTACTTCTTCAATATCTAGATAAATGCTTAAAATATTGTGAGGTGAGTATGAAAACTGGAAATCGCTAATGAATTTCTTTAGTAAAAGTTAATGGGAACTTGTAAAATAAAGTATCATGATCATCACTGGCAATTTGGGATAAATTTTTCTGCTATTATTATTATAGACATCGTTTTTTGAATTCTTTTTAACATGTGCATAAATAATAAATAAAAAAATTTATATTAATTTGTTATAGTGCATATTACTAGGGTAAATATTAATATTAATAATATTAATGTTAATATTGACAGAAAGGTGAAACATTACTGCTATATTAATTAATATTACTTTTAGGAGAAATATTAATATTTACAAATTAGAAGTTTTTTCCCACTTGAACATTTTAAATTTTCTAATAATAATTCATTAATTAATATTATAATTAATATAATAATCAATGTTAGGATCATTATATACAAAAACAGTATGGATGATAATTGCATATCGTGAATATACAAAAAGTGGTTATGAAAGAAATTCGAAAAAATTTAATAAAAATGCATTGGACTTGGATTTAAGTGATAAAGTTGTAATAGTTACAGGCGCAAACAGTGGCCTAGGAAAAGATATTGCTGCCGAGTTGTTTAAACGAGGTGCATTAGTTCATATGTTGTGTAGAAATGAAAAGACAGGTGAAGAAGCTAGAAAAGACATATTAGGTCAAATTAACGGTGATGCTAGTAGCAGTGGTGATAATGTTAACGATGAGACAAATCAAAAATCAAAAGTTGTTTTTGATGAGAATCGATTGAGATTGCATAAAGTTGATATTTCCGATTTGAAAAGAGTTAAAGAATTCGTGAAGGAATTTGAAAGTGATGGGGATGGAAAATGTCATATTTTGGTAATTAAAGTTTTGTATTTATATAATCTTTTTTTGTTTTTATATATTATCTCAACCAATATCAACTCTACAAAAATATATAATGCATATTTTCAGAACAATAATAATAACATTATTTTATTTATTTTAAAGATAAACAATGCAGGTGTAATGGTGAATGAACGGTCAACTACACCATATGGAGTTGAAACAAATTTTTCAATAAACACTTTGGGAACTTATTATTTAACTAAAAGCTTGGTTCCTTTATTACAAAAATCTGGTCCTGGGTCAAGGGTTGTAAGTAGTTATTATCGTTATTTTTCTTTGGAAATATATTATAACACAACAACAACAGTAATAATCTTTAATAATTAATTATTAGGTCACAGTTTCTTCAGGTGGAATGCTTGCAAATAAACTTGATGTCACCGATTTAGAATGTAAAAAAATGAAACAATTTGATGGAACTATGGCATATGCACAAAATAAGGTATTTATTAATTAGCTGAATATTTTGTTCTTTCAAGTTACCACCATCTTCCATCATCATTTTTAATAATAATAAATTTTTCTTTAGAGACAACAAGTAGAACTAACTAATTATTGGTCACAACAATATCCAGAATCTACCACAGGAATAAAATTTTTGTCAATGCATCCAGGATGGGTTGATACTCCTGGTATCAGGACATCATTGGAAACCTTTTATAAGCATCTTAAAAATCAATTAAGATCTGTCGATCAAGGAATTGATACAGTCCTATGGGCAGCATTTAGTAAGGAAGTATCAGATATTCCTAGTGGATCATTCTTGTTTGATAGACAGGTGGCTTCACAACACTTACCATTGGCCCCAACCAAATCTACTCAACAAGAAGTTGAAGCTTTAGTAGAACAAATTGATAATTATGTAGATATAGCCTTGAATTTTGAACAAAGAAGTTCCAGCTATTAATTTAATATTGGATTTTTTTCCTCTTTTCAATTGAGAAATATTGCAACAAGTATTTTAAATCAATTTATTATAATTAGTTTGTCGTTAGTACTATCACTGCTATATTTTTATTAGATACAATTTTTACAAATTTTTTTTCTATGTTTTGTTATGATTGGTATATGAAATATTTTTGAACTTTCAACTGTAATGTATTTAACAATAATAAAGCCTAGAACTTTAAGAATCTAACAAATGTAAAAAAACTTGCGTTTTGTAGATTTTTGTACTTAATGAAAATCATTACTACTCTTAATTACATAGATAAATATTTAAGTTCTCCTTTTGGCTCAATCCAGGCACATACATCATAACTGTGAATGATATAATTATTAATACCTATTGCTATCCTTGACTAGATCATAGAAAGGCGCATGTGGCAAACGTTTCACTGGGAGACGGTTTGTCAGAATACGTTTCACCAGGATATGGTTGAAGAGATAGCATCATTTAGTGGAATAGAAAAAATATATTTATCGCTAACTTTGTGATTTTGATGGCATCTAACATCATTTTTTCTTTCAAGGATGATGTTAATATAGTCAAAAAAAAAAAAAATTAGATGAGAGAGTCAGGAGATAAAATATATAATATTTAACCAAAAATTGTTAATAATGTTTTAACTTAATTGTTCAAAGTGTGCTTTTACCTAAATTTAAGCGTCATTGTTCATTCATGTCAGAATCTGCTATTGTTACAATTGATTTAGATTAAATAAACAACATCATCGTCCTGATGAATGGCAAGGCTTTTCATTATGATCTTTAAAAAATCCTTTTAATAAAAGACTTTCACATAACAACAGGTTTCCATTGCGTTATATTAGCCTTTTTTTTTTGCGAATTGATGACTAGAATGATTAAACAAAAGATTTATCTAAAAAAACCAAACAACTTTGAATAAAAAAAAAGATTTTGTTATTAATTACATCACATCACATCACTTACTGTTTTTGATAATTATTTCCCAAACGATTTATGTCTGTTTCCTTGATAAAATGAGTTGAGAGATCATTTGCAATAATTATAATCATTGTACTCATTGTACTATACCCAATTAATTTACTCTTAATATAACAAATCGATTAACTAACAATCGAAGCCATTCGTGGTAATCTGATCAATCAGAACTCTCTTTAATGCTATCCATAATTGTTGTTGGTTTAGCTGCTGCTTTTAGTTGCTCCCAGTATACCTTAAACAAAGGTGTTATAATCATGGCAGTGTTAGAATTCTACTCGTAAATACTTGTCTCTTAGCATGTCAAGCTAACATTGCTGTCGTCACACTCTGATTTTGTCAACGCTCATTTTGCGACGTCCTACATACTGACAAGAAACCACAGAGCGAAGTCTGATTACAAATTGCGACCAGATTTGCATAGTTATTCTTTTTTTTATTCCACGCACTCGTTAAACCAGGGAGAATATGTTACTATTACTTGTTTAATTCTAAAATGAATATGACTTTAGTTTCTTATCAACTCTTCCAGTTCTGATTTTCTGCTTAAATAAACAAAAGGACTATTACAAATACGAATTTTAAATATTCATTCACCTTCATTTTCTGACAATTGACAAGTCCTGGTATAATAGTTTCTTGTAGCTTTAGGAGAAATTTATATAAATAAAAATTTTCTACCATGAAAGAAAAGGTGGCGGTGTTTTTATTTTAAGTATATACATTCTTTAAAAAAATAAATAGATATCTATAGAGCGGTAATTGGAAGGTCAGGAGTTCAATAACAATTGAGGTTGGCCTATCTATCTAGGACTTTGAATTGGTTATAATAAATAAATTCTTCGTTAAGTTGATTCCGGGGATTGGTTACCTTGTTTTTGAAGCTGACTCATCATTTAAAAGTTAATGATTGATTGAAAGAAGTTGCACAAAAGTCCGTCGGAATTTACTTTTTTGTTTTTATCCACTTTGTCCACTCATTTATACCATATTCAAATAGAAATTAAATAATAATTTAGATTTGCAAAAATTTTATTATTGCAGTATTTTTTTAAAAAAATAAATATAAAATGTCATCATACCCTAAGTTATTAACACAAGACAGAGTAGATTTAGTACGTAAAATTTATAATGAAATAGATAATATCGCTCGACCTGCTTTTCCATTTGTTTCTGACAACGAAAATTATATAAGTTATTTTTTACAATTAGTCAAAGAAAACAAAGAACTATTAGAAAATGAAAAGGAATATTGTAGAGAAAGGTTTGTTTATAATTTCGAATTAAACAATGCAACTAATAAATATGGTAAACCAAGAGAATGCAATAATTGTAAAACAACAAGATACTCTGATAAATATTGTGAAAAGTGTATTAGTCTACATTTGCAGAGCCTTTTCAGCACTTGGACATCTGGAAATGAGATAATTGATAGCTTTATTCAAAAATGTCAACAGCTTTCATCTCTTCCAACTCAAATTATAGAATGGATACCTTATGAGCAATTTTATAATATACAAAAGTTAACAGAGGGTGGATCCAGTTCTATTTATACTGCTGGATGGACAAGAGGATCTATTGATGATTATGATGAAAATAAAAAGGAGTTTAGTTATTTTGGAGATCATCTTGTAGTATTAAAATCATTAAATAATTTAAATAATCCAGGAAAACCTTTTTTTGATGAGGTAATTGTTCTCATTTAAAATAGACTAAATTAAACTATTTATTTTAAATTAATTGATTTTATTTATATAATTAATTATTAATTTCAGGCATTAAATTATTGTAAAATTAAAGCAAATTTAATTGTTAATTGTTATGGTATAACTAAATTTCCAGAAAATGGAAATTATGCAATAGTTCTTAATTATCATCCAGAGGGAAATTTAAGAGATTATATACAAAAAAATCATTCAAATTTAACATTAAAAGATAGAATTAATATTTTTAGTGACTTATGTGAATCATTATATTTTATACATGAAAAAGATTTAATTCATTGTGATTTACATAGTGGTAATATATTATTGCAAGGAGGTAGTTGTTATATCACAGATTTTGGGTTATGTGGGCCAGTTGATGAGAAATTATCAAATAAAATTTATGGAATTGTATCATATATTGCACCAGAATTATTTAAAAGAAAAAAACACACAAAAGAAACAGATGTTTATAGTGTTGGGATGTTAATGTGGGAAATATTTGCAGGACATCCACCATTTGATGATACAGCACATGATTTTCGTTTGCAATTAAAAATATGTGAAGGTTTACGACCACCAATATTACCAGGAATGCCTGATGATTGTGTACAAATGATGCAGAAGTGTTGGGATGGGGATCCATCTAAAAGACCAACTATTAGAGAGCTTTGGGAATTTGCTGATAATAAATTTAAAACTGAGAGTTTTAATGAAAGTAATAGTAATATTGGTGTTGGTGGTAATAATAGTAATTCACAACAAATTCATAAATCACATCCATTAGCATATCATACAAGTAGAATATTAAATGATGAATTTGCTAAATTGAATTTAAGTAATGATAGCTTAAATTATGAAATATAATAATAATAATAATAATAATAATTATAATTATAATAATAAGTATTTGATTAGGTTAAAGTTGAATTAATTATTTTTCACCGTCTATTAATTTTTTTTTTTTTATTATTTCTATGAAAATAAATTTGAATTACACGTTTTATAATTTCATAATTAATATTAAGAATTTTTGGCAGTGCCAACCTTTTTGAGAGGAGAAATAAATAATCATCATTGATTATTACTGTCTCATTTAATGTTGTTTAACTTAGTATTAAGTAAAAATCTTGACGCAAGTAAAACCTTTGACATAAGTCAAACCTCTTGATTTATTATTTCATTTCATTCATTGATTGATTGAGTGAATAAGTAAAAAATCACGACCAAGTAGATTATTTAATTTGATATTATTGTTAACATTGTTCCCAAAACAAATATACTGTATTAGTTCAATGAATGATTAATCATTATTTGGCTAATTTGGCTACTAAGCAATAAATGAAATATCATTCATATCTTCCACTACTATCAAAATTGAAAAAAAAGATTACCTCCATATTAATAATAATAATAATAATAAATAATGAAATACTCGGAAAACATTTAGTATTTAATATTTGTGCTCAAGTCAAAGGAATGACTCTTAAAAAGACTAGCTCTTGGTTCACGGATTACAATTGACTTAGTTGACCTAGAGATTTAAATAGTCTTCCCCTTTTACCAGATGGAGCATGGAATAATTTTAAAATGCAATTTCTTCTATAAATGTGAATTTAACTTTATCATCTTTTTCTTCTTTTAAAGTCGAAGAGGTTATTCCTTCATCTTCAACCTCCTCTTCCAAAAAACCTCCAGCGGGAAAAACTCTTAAAACCCTAGCTCGGAGGGGAAAAAAAAAATATTAAAATGGATTGGTACTACAACCAATGCTTAGCTGCAGTTAATCATGATATAAAAAAAATATTTACGTGAAAATTACTAATAAGTCTGAAAAATTTAAAGCCATTAGTCTTAAGTGGGTCCTTATGACATTAGGAATGCATCAACGATGGAGCTTTTAAAAAATTATAAGACAAATATTGCTTTAAAAAGGAAAAATTTTAAATTGAAATTCAGATCTAAAATAGATAAATTGCAATCAATTACCATTATATCAAGAGAACGGGGAATAAATAGTGGTCATTATTCATTTCTCAATGGTATTAAAACAAGCGAAAAAATACCCGAAATAAATTATATGACCTTCGTTTCACCATGAATCATCTTGATGAATTCTACTTGTGTATCCACAAACTACTTAAAATTAAGGCTGATAACCAAGGTCCTAATTTTTCGGTGGTCGAAGAGAATAGAGGCACTGGCATCATTTCTCTTGATCCAGGAGTGAGAGAACCTTCATGACTGGCTATAACCCAAGTGGTGAGGTTATGGAAAAGGAGACATTAATATAACGCATCGCTTGTGCTTGCATTATGATAGAATCCAAGGTGAAGGGGATTCTATTGATGGCAAAGCAAATAAGCATAGGAGGTATAGGCTCCGTCGGTGCATACTTCGGATTAATAAGAAAATTCATAATCTTGCGGATGAATGTCATCGAATATTGGCCATGTAGCTTTACTCCCAGAGTTTAAAACATAAAATATGGTTAAAAAAAGCGATTCGAGAAAAATCCACTCTGAAACTGCAAGACAAAATGTTGACCTGGTCACATTACCGTTTTCGCCAATATTTGCTCCATAAATCCCGCGAGTACCCTTGGTTTAAGGTCGTCATCTGCACCGAATAATACACTAGCAAAGCATGCGGATGTTGTGGAGTCATCAATTCAAATTCAAAAATTTTTGATTGTACATCTTGTAAATCCACCATTGGTAGAGGTATAACCGGAGCTCGTAATATCCTTTTGAAGTATATTTCAGAAAAACAATAAGAGTCATTCGCGACGTGAAAACTCACACCCAACGAGACACCTTATTGTAGGCTGTCTATGTAGGACTTGTACTTGGTATAGGTTCAGTATTAAATTTTTTTAAAAGGAATTAGTTGACGTGTGATATAAAAATTCCACTTCTATCACATATCACGAATTAAACAATTTTTGATTTTACAAAGAGAATTACTACATAAAAATTAAAGTGTGCATATTGCTCATACCCATATTTGTATAATTTCTGTAATGTTGGCGTAACACTGTTTGTTATAATAGGAAAATTGATTGAACAACCGTTTTTATTATTATGTTCTTCATAACTGATAATTAAAGAAAAAAATATCCAAGGTAATTAATTATCATGATATATAAGTATGACACAATATGATATAATACATATATGCCTATGCGTATATACTAATTATTCTGCAAATAAAAAATTTTGTTTCTTTTGAATAGAAATAATTAATTGATAAACAATAAATAATAATGACAATGATCCTAAAGAAAAATGAACAACACTTTTACCAAGATGGTGATTGTGAATTAAAAGTGGAAAACATTTTATTCAGAGTTCACAAGAATATATTGGTGCTGTCGTCAGCATTTTTCAGCGGAATGTTTTCAACAGCCCAACCATCAAAAGATGAATTAATCACTGTTGGTGGGGGGAGCTCTGGTAACAGCCTATCAACAATAGTAAGAATAGATTTAAGGGATGATGCATCAGATGATATTGAAAAATTATTATCATTTCTTTACCCAAATACATTTTTTGAAATATCATGGGCGGATGTGGCAAATTTGTTACGCCTAGCAGATAAGTATATTGTTGACACATTGAATTCGGGCTGTGTGTCTTTTTTGAAAAGATCTTATGAGGATGAACCATTAAAGGCATTAAAATTAGCAGAAATATATATGATAGATTCAGTTTATAAAGAATCGTCAAAACTGGTCATAGATAAATTTGAACAATTCTTTTATGATGGACCTGTGCTCAACAATAATCTACAAGGATTATCCAGGAGAACTCAACTAAAGCTCCAGGTTCAAAGACAACAATATATTGAAGGATTAAATAAATTGTTTTGTGATACAGTTGATAGAAGATTTCCACCGTTGGCAACTGAACATCTACGAACCAAATTTGAAGAGTGTGTTAAAGACATTTGCACATTTCCATTCCAATCACCCTCTTACAGCTGGTCTTTGTTACATCAAGTTGATTGTTCAAGACATTTTGAGTGTAGAGAAGAATTGAAAAGATTGAAACCATTTATAAGTGCAAAGATTTCTAATTATTTTGGTTGTGAGTATGAAACCTTGGCTTGGAATAAATCTGTATCCAAAGAATCAGAACTTCATTATCCTTTTATTGAATTACGTGATGATTGATATTGACCCATCAATTATTTTAATTAAATAACGATTACTATGTGATATATTTTATACTTATTTTGTATCTATTTATACATATACATATATATATTTATTATTATACATACATAAACATTATATTTATTTATAGAGGACCAATTTGTGATATATTATAAATTAAAAGATTTCAAAATTAATTACACGTTATATTTCATCTGGTATTGTTGACTCGATCCATAAATCAATGATAATTGTAACTTTATATAGTCTATATGAACTTGAACGGTATTTGGATAAACTGCTGTGGTAATTGTAGAAGGATCAAATGAATTAGCCAATAATGCTTTTTTTAATTTATTGAAAGTGGTGTGGTGGATATTTATTAATATTTTAATATATAAAACATTTCATCCAATCGTTTTTCAGATTTGACAATGATTTACATTGTGTAATTTTTTATTTTTACGTATATATAATAATAAAAAGATGTCATATGAATGCTCTCTTCACGGTAGAATTTCCAATAATTTAAAGCCTCAACTTATAGATAGACTTATTGGAATTTGTGGAATACATCCATTTACTATATTTGAACATGAGATTGGATTTATACCTTCAGGTAATCAATCTGATTAAATGACTAATTAATTTTTAGATTTATATAAAATCATCATCATCTTATTAATTAATATAAACAAACAAATAACAAAATAGTCAAAACAACAGAAGGACCATCTCGTAATGAAGATGTTTTATTAAGACTTAAATCCCATATTGATGAAAATGATTTAACTAAACGTCAATGGTTTATTATTATTGCTATTATTATTGTTAATTTTTTTTAAAGAAAAATTTAATGGATCATACATATACATATAAATGATATAATTAGGCAATTGTTTCAACTTGGACATCCCGAATCTCATCTTGGTCGATCTACTACCGATAAACCAGCAACTGTTAGAGCTGTATTTCATTCAAAAATACATACTGGTGATTCTTTAAAATTTATGGGATTACTTGGTTACAAGTAAGAGCTTTTGTATTATCAAATAATGATTTTATTATATCAACTATAATAATAAATAATTGTTTTAAAAAACTGAATTGATTAGAATGGGATTTGAATTTGCAAGAAAAGGAATAGTATTTAATTATCATGATAATTTAAAAATAATCATAACACAAATCTTCAAGGTAATTTAAATAGTTACTAATTATTTCAAAAAATTTTTTTTAAGATATCTTCAATTTTTAATATTTTCCTAAAAAAAAAAAAAAAACAGTTGGAAAAACCAAATGATGTAAGTTCGTTAATACCTTTTGATCCAAAAAATTATTGGATTGTTGAGGTTTCAACAGTTCCTATTTTACAACAAGATGTAGAAAAAAATATCGGAGAGCTTCGAAAATTTGCGGAAATGTTGAAAGGGATTTTGAATTTACATTACATTGAACATTCGATATTGCAAAACAAAGTTCATCATTAAAACTGTAAATTAGTAATAGTTAGTGCATGCTACATGTGTGTGTTTATGATTAAATTACTGTGTTGAATAAAATATTATACTTTACAGAAACACAGCAGTCCAAAGGATGTGATTTGATTGCAAGATGAACCAGTCATTAATACTTTTATACAAGGTGGAAGGAAAACGGCGTCACCATATTCATTTATATTCTCATCTTTATTCGCACAAGAATTATTTTTTTTATTAATCTTTCAAAATTGATATGGTTGATTGATAATTTAAATAAATAAATAATTATTATTTTTTTAAATTATTTTGGAGAAATCACCAAAACTTTCCATATAATAATCTGGAATAATTTTTGCACCCTCGGATAAAATATCACTTTCTTTGGATATTCCTAATTAAAAAATTGTCAATAACTATTCATAATAATTGACCATCAATACTACAAAATACCCAAAAATACAACTATAATAATAATTACCAGTTAATACCAACAGGGTAGCAAAACCGCCATTTATTCCAAATTGTATATCGGTATTCAATCGATCACCAATCATACAAGTTTTCTCAACGTTTAAATCATATTTTTTCATAATACAATCTAACATTGGTTTATTAGGTTTGCCACAAATATAATCAGGTTGTCTATCCAATGCTTTGATCAGTGGAGCTGATAATGACCCTGCACCAGGAAATATTCCACCATTTGTTGGATACGTTGGATCATCATTTGTCAAAATGAAATAACAATTCGGATTGTTGTGTAGATTTGTAAATGCCTTTGCTAATTTTACATAATTTATTTTTGAATCAAATCCACATAATACTGCTCCAACCTATCGTAAAAATTTTAATGTTGAATTAGAAGTTTTTTTTTAAAAAAAAATAAAAAGGTAAAAAGTAAAAAGATAGAAAATAAAAAAAGGAAATAAATAAGAAGCTTACTTCGGGATCAGGTTTTATATTTGACATATCCATATCTTTTAATATAGCATTTACGTCATCCTATTAAGAAAATCAGGCAATAAATAAAAATTTTCAATAATAATAATAATAATTAATTTATCACTTCATTACTTCGCCACCACAATATCTAATTCCTTGAGTATTCAATTCATCAACCATCCCAGATTCACCAAAAACGTAAACTTTCTTATCTTTAGGAAAATTTAATACATTCTTTATATAGTAAGCAGCTACATATGATGACCCAAAAATTTCATCCTATAAATAATCTCTTAGCTAAAATACACATGCACTTATTATCCAATAAAAAAAAATATTGACAAATTACTTCATAAGCTTCAATATTTAATTTTTTAAATTTCTCAAGATATTGCGCACGAGACTTCATAGCATTATTTGTTACAAATAATATTTGTTTGCCTAAATTCAAAAGAAAGTACTTGATAAATTAATTATTTTTTTTTAAAAAAAAAAAAAATTCACTCATTACAACACAATACGTTACCATTCTTTCTTAAATAACTTAATGTCTCTACAACTCCCGGGAATACCTTATTTGTTTGCCATATTACTCCTAATTTTTACAAGAGAACAAGGATATCCACTTAGATAGAAATGAATCAAAAGTATTTATACATGTTAAAGAAAGAAAAACCGTTACCATCACAATCAAGTAAAAAAGTTTCATACTTTTCAATAAATTCCTTATAAGCTGGTATATCAGAAAGTTTGATCGGTTGTTTTGTCATGGTTTTAAAAGAAAGCAATTTATTACTGCGTGAATGGTAATTAAATAAATTTCCTTGTATAGAACTTTTTTAATTTTTTTTTTTAACAAATAATAATGAAGTATTAATTAAATTAGTTAGTTTCTCCACCAAAGACAATTTAACTTTCACGTGACAAAGTTTTATTATATACCATTGTTGACTTTAGTCAAGACTTGTTTATTTTAGTAGTAGTCTTGCAGCATACGCATAAATATTATTTTTATCTTCTCCAATTAGAGATAATACAGAAAACATGTAACGTATAAACCCTATGTATGTATGTTATGTATGATTTTTCCATACATGTGTGCATAAATATAGTAATACAAATAATAGAAACAAGAAAATTATTTTAACTCGGAAAGGAGAAATTACATGGTCAAGTTTTGAATAATTTGCTGTCTGTAATCTAATTTCCCACCCACTACAAGAAATCAACTTTTTATTATTTGAATTATGTTATTATTAATACAATCTTTAATAAAATTATAATGCCCAATAGTAAAGTTTGTTTTTTTATTAATTTTTTAAATAAAGACAATTTTATGGTTTTAATGTTTCTAAAAGTCGCACTATTTTTTTGTATGTGGATATTTTGGTCATGTTATCTTGGAAGTATTTCAATTCAACAGTTTTTACTTGCCCTGTATATTTTTATCTATTTTCACGTATAACAAAGTTATATGTAAATAAAATTCATATTAATATATACGTTACATACATAGGGTTCATACCATACATTGCATGTTATCGTAACACCACCAATTCGAGTAATAGTAACAACATATCAATACGTTTTTATCAAGAGTATAAACAGGTTCACCTTTTGAAAGGGAAAAGTAAAAAAGTAATAATAAATGATGATTATTCATCAGATCACCAGATGAAATAACGAGTTACTTGGATTTGCCATTAGCAATAAATACAGAAAATCCACTTGAATGGTTGGTGGAAAAGGTAAGGTACCATCATTTACAAAGTTTTTCATGCCTTTCCAAATTTGCATTTAAATATCTATCAATTCTAGCTACATCAGAACCAAGCGAGCGATCTTTTTTTTAGTTCTGGTAATATAATAAACCAAAAAAGAACCGTTTAAATTGTGATTTTAGTTGGCAAGATGTCTTTTCTAAAGCGAATATGAAACTCGTGAATATTATTGAGAGATCAATGTACTGGTTGTGTTAGATTGAGTATACTTTGCGCAGTGAGTATATTACAAAACATTTTTGGTAATGATAATTGTACTTGCATGATTTTTTGGGTTAGGTGTGTGGGGCCTATAAATTTTACTTACTGTACTCAACCTAATGCTACTTATGATTTTACTATACTCACCGGATAAAGTGTTTGGCATTCAAGCTTCATATACCCATCAATGAATATCCAAAGTAGTACCAACGAGATACAACTGTTCACTAAAAAAAAAAAGTACAATTTATTTATCTTTGAGATCAAATCCGATTTGGATCCGGTCTCGAAACCAGTTATGATTATCATAAAAAATAAACCGGATCCCAATTCTATTTGACTTCATTGATGACTTATTAATTATAATTACAAAATCAAAATTATCTATTAAAAAATATAAAATTAACAATTATTTTTTTCTAGCATATATTCTATAAGTTGGCCAATATTCACATTTATCATCAACTTCTTTGATAAATTCCTTTATCAATTCATCATATTGTTTATCAGAATAATTTAATATAGGCATTAGTTTTGACTTTAGAGCTTCACATCCAGTTGAAAAATCATCTCGACACTATATTTTAATAATATAATAATAATAATAATATAAAGATTTGGAAGAAGGAATTAATTGATTAAGAATTGGTTGATTTATTTTTAACTGTTAATTACTACTAACCACTTCGCCAAGTTTACCGCCCGATTTTCCCAATAGACACTCGCGTTTCTCTAATTTAACATCTATTAAACCTGGATGATTCTCAAAATTCTTTTGATAAATATCTACCCCAAAGACTAAATTATTGGAATTAACAAGTTTCTTGACTAAAAGAAAGATAAAAAGCGATGAAGAAATAACAAATTTTTTTTTAGAATTTAAAAATTGGTTCAAGTAGATTTTTAAAAGAGTTGACATTTTTAACTTACCGGCATCCATGAGTAATTTCTGTGCTGGACCTTGATTTAATGTTCCTATTCCTGCTTCCTGGTAATTAAATAATAATAAATAACCAATTTCCACATAAAATAACTTTTCAAAAAAGATTTAAATAATTACCATGATTTCTAACCAGCCACCAGGTTTTAAAACTCGGAGAAGTTCGTTTATTAAAATTTCGATTTGTGATGGCGTAAGTGACATAACGAGAAATCGTTGATAAACAAAATCAAAATGATTATCTGGGAACGGTAAACCCTGAATAACATTGACTTTTTGGAACTTAACGTTTGAAGGTTTGATTTCGGATGGATAAATTGGCGAGATGTCGATTCCAATGAATTCACAATTAAGGAATGTATGTGCCATATCAAGTGAAACAATCCCTGTCCCGCATCTAATATATAAAAATAAATAAATAAATATACTTTTTATTATAGCATAAAGATACTGGATGCATTTGGTTTTGGTATACAATGTATTATTATGTATATATATAGCAGAAAATACATGGCATAAGTAGAATATTTCAGATATAATATGTCAAAGATTTACCCGACATCTAGGACCCTAGATCCATGTTGTTTTAATTTTGTTTCGATAGGAGAAGAGAAATTACTACCCCACACATGTTTCATTAGGTAATGCTGCATTTGTAATCTATCGACTTCCTTATCATCATTTGGAAGAACGTAGCTTGCATCATTTTCGTTATGAAATCTTCTGCCGTCGACAAAAAGAAATTCTTGTTGTGTGTAAGGCTTTTTACTATTACGCCGAATGGTGCTGATAAGATTATAATTATCGCCAACATCTGTCGAGTTTCCATTACCCATTTATTTTTTAATTTTAAAGAAAAGTATGAAATAAAATGAAAATGTGATGATGAGTATGAATTATTAAAATTATTTGGTGAATGAAAATTGTAAAAACAAAAAAAAAAAAAAAAAATTTAATTTTAAAATTTTTTCTATTTTTAAATTAATTATTTAAAACTCCGCCGAATTTTAAATTTTATCTGGTTTTTTTTGTTTTTTTTGAATTATGCTGCATGTTAATATTATTCATAAACATAAACAATAAACAAATAAAAAAATTAAACCGATCATCCCTTATAAAAAGCAATAACAGTAATAAACATGCATTTTTTATGTTATTAATTGGAAATATTTGTGGTTTGTAATATTTGTAATAAAAAAACGGAACAAAAGAGTGAGAATTCCGATTTTAAGAAGGTTATTCCTAATATGTTTAAATATGATGTGCGAGCGTGTTTTATGAATTCGTGTATCACACAAAAACATAACCCTGTATTCTATATAGAGCTAAAATTTAGACATTGTTTAATATCAAGCTTCTAATTTAATAAAGTTTCGATTCAAAATCGAATACAATCTAATTTATTTTGTTTAAATATCTAATTGGTGTAACAGTTTGTTTTAGGATGTGTCTATCTAGCGTAATACTATATCTGATATAGTATATAGTAATGCTAATGGTAATATTATGTTTTTGTTTGTGTTTTATCTCTACTGTCGTCAAGAGCAGTTCTTTATTAATTAACAAATGAAATGTCTTTAAAAATATCATTGTTGATGTCCATGACCATGTTTAAACCTTTTTTGAGACGAAAGAATAAAAAAAATCTGTGTATTCATTTGTTTGTTGATGATATAATTAGGTCCAAAATGAGTTATTTAAACGAATCGTAAACAGATAAATAAATTGGGATGATGATAATAATTAATAATAATAATAATAATAAATAAAATTGAAAATTGATTTGCATAATTAATTTAATAGCATCTGCCAATCAAAATATTCCCAGCAGCACCTGATAAAAGGCATATGATATTTGTTTCCAATTCAGCAAATAAAATATTCTACATCAATTAATATCAATATTTGATTTGAAAATCCTTGTATACGAAATATAGTAATGGTCACATGTTTCACTCTCTAGATCATACGAAGTTATAATTTAGAAAACACATACCTTGGAATTTTTTATTTTTTTGTTAAAACTTTTTCACTTTTACATTTAAAACTTATAATTCTTTCGTTTTGTTATAATTTATGGAAACCGTATGCTGGATTCTTAGTAATTATTCGTGCATGGAATTACTATTACGCGCGTGTTTCATTGTGTGTGAATCAATCCATTTATGAATAGACCAATAAGCGTTGATTGGTTTGCTGCCATCAGTATTTTTGAAAATTCAACTGGAAACTAGCATAGTTTTGTAACAATATAATGGCAATACCCGTCGACTGAATTTCTAACATCGTTTCCCAGTTCATGGTCCTAAATTTTGGGATCAATCCTTTGTTTATCTAAAATTGGTAAGTTTGTGTAATATTTATATCAAAATTTTTAATTAATTTATTTAATTTATACTATATAAAATTTTAAGGTTCTTTGTTTTATATTGTTTATATTGCAATTTTCAAATTATATTTTAACCGGTCCTTTTGATTGGTAGTTTTTGGACCAGTCATTGAGACTGGTCAATACAATCCTACTACCCGAGTCATCATAGGATTTATTAGTATTAGCCGAATTTTCCTTTTAGTAAATTCTTCTGAATACATATTAATATTAATATATACATATTTTGAAAATATGTCTATGTTATATAGTTTTTTTTTTACATGTGAATATGGTTTTGGAAATTTGAGAAACGCTCATTCTTATCGGAAATAGTTGCGATATGCGCCAACGAAGATAGAGATTGATTAATATTTTATGATGGGTTTATTTTACCAATAACGTTTTACAGCTAAACTTTTTTTATTAAAACAATTTCAATTTTCAATATTAATATTAATGTATTTTTCAAAACGATCAACGCTCACTCTTGGAACGAGAAGAATCAAATTTTTTATTTTTTTACAGTTAGTAATGTCGAATATCAGACCACCTTACCATATTTCTATGTAAGATACTGGAAACATGCATCAGAACCAATATCAAATCTCATTTTCCAGAATAATTATAACCTTGGAAGCATATACACTTTGCACAGCGGCACAAACATTTAAGAATCTTTGATCCTAGCAGCGGTACACGTCACATTTTTACAGATTCGGAAGCAACATCATATTATGAGTTGGGTGTAAATTATAAATATTACTAATACTTTTATTCTTTCACAATCTACAAGAACATGATTAATTTTACCTATATAATAAATGACAGTAAATGCAGAGTACATAGGACCCTGCATGTAGACCAATACGATTCAAACACTCATTGCATAATGTATTTTTAAATTGTGACATTAACTGCAGCTTTGATATTAATGATAGTTTAACAACCATTATAATAAAATTCAATTTCAAACTTTGTATTCCCATTATTAGTTGATCGATCCTTGAACATGTGTTCGTAAACAAAACATTCAATTTCCCAACCAACTTTCACACGCATGCAATTACTTTCATATACCATAACTGTTCAAGCGTGCTTCTTGTCTTACAATTCTAATTGGATTATTGTTATTATTTGCCGAAATTCGTCTTATTATTTTTATATAATAATAAATAAAGATTTTTCAAGTAATTTAAAATTTAATTTTCTCAACGATGACTACAACTACGACGGGAATTATATTATTATAAATTAACATTATTAACTTTTTCAACACAAAATTAAATTATTTCTTTATAATAACCAGTAAAATATTTAAATTTGAATTTTTTCTTACTACAACGACAACGACTACAACAACCACGACGAGAAAAAACCTAATAGCCAAGACTGTTTCCGTTTTAAAGATGTAATTCGTGTGAATGCCTTGTGTCTGGGGTATGCAATAAGGCCAAAGTGCATTTGGGTTTTACTTGCAAAAAGTTAAGGCCAACCTTTAGCTTAAAGTCTCAATCGCAACTCTCGCCTGTGTAGCCGTTGCTGTCTTGATGTCTAGCCGGTTGAACGCTCACCAAAGCCTAATGCAAACCCTTATCTTAAATAGCCCATAGGCTCCTTGCATTCGTATGGGATTTTGTTAAATAAAACAACGTTAGATTTAAAGTTCTTGGCTATTATTCTACGCGAGCACAGATTACTGGGTTGTGTCACCATCTCCAGTAGTTTGTTGTTATTCGAATCGGAAGGCAAAGCATACCCCTGTAGTAGTATTATTACTTGGTTGATGCATTTTTTTAAAAAAAATTTATTTTATAAAGCAATAAAAAAGATATTTTTTTCTCTCGTACAATTGAATGGAACAATAATTTTTTTTCTCAGTATGATTGATTCTATATAATAATAAGAGCCGTTAATAATATAATGGTCTTTCCAATTAAAAACAAGTTCCTGAAAAAAGATAATTTTGGAAAAAATATATACAATTCCAACATTAATATCATATATATTAACATATATTTTATATATTTTTTATATAATATTAATTTTAACTCACCTTTGGAAATATTGGAAATAAATGAAATAATAATAAAGAGTTGGATAAAGAATTTTTCGGGAATCCAAATTAAGTGGAAAATACTATTACACAAGCACAATTGTGGCATGATTATATTGTACTATTAATCTTAAACTAATAATTTACCTGTTTTGTACCTTCTATATTCTTGACACTTGGATCTATGTTAATATTGGAAAAATCTGTGTGATATATAATGGCTTGAAGTCATGAATAGAGATTGATGGATAGGGTTTAACACCATTCCTTTTTGTACTAGTCTTCAACCTAGCCAATTTTTGTTTTAAATAGTTTAAAGGCACAAAACTTGTATTACAAAATAACGTTTTCTTTAATAAAAAAATGGCTATTGCAAGAAAAAAAAAAAAAACTAAGTTTAGAAGGAATTACGAACAGAATGAGCACTTGAAACAAAAAAAATTCGCCCTCATGCGGTGTACACAAATATACAAGTTGTTTCCAAATTTGGTTAATTCATGTATCCAGGATTAGAAATTTTACTATTATATTAACAATAGTAATAGTACTAGATCTTTCTACAATTCCACAAACATGATTGGTAATGGTTGATTATCAACATCAATAATAAATTTTCATATATGCGGATTTTTTAAACGTTATTTTGACCAACCCCAATGACATACGCAATCCACAGTTGTTTTACAGCCATCACATTCGAATTTGGTATGTCCAGAATCATAAAATTCGGCTTGATTCTTTTATAATAGCTGCAAATTACTAAATATAAATAAAACCAAACAGTTATACTACTTTTTTGCTTTGTCTGATAGCATTACCACAACTAATCTTCAAATGCTATTCGCCTTTATTCAATTATTAATCCCCTGCTGAATGTGCCATTAGGACTTTTTCATCATCATCAAGAACATAATTAAAGTGTTCCCTTATTACTTCATCTTGAATTCCAAAAGGATGAACTCTATATGAACTAAGATAATAATAGATCTCACTTACCTGTTGGTCAGATTGTGATGTATTGACATGTTAGGCTCAATCATAACTATAATGAGCAATAGCATTGATACTACAATATTGTATCTCTTTTGCTATAAAATAATTTGATGAACTAGTTTCCTTTGTTTTGATTTCGTATTTTCCTGGTTTTGCCTTTGAAAGATGACCCTTGTATTTTTGAGCAAGTATCTGGCCACTTTCTCCTTAAAAGATGAACACATTGACGAAATGTAACATCTTCCATTTCAATAGTCCTTCCTCTTGATAGAAGACCTTTTAGTATTCTCAAAAATCACTTTATCATTTTGACCAAGCCTTAATTCTAAAATATCACTCAAATGACATCTCATCTTGATTGCATCAAGGACTTCACTACGCAGTACATTTCCATTTGTGTTGACCAATAAATTTACTGACTCAACCATATCCAAAAACACCTCATTTTTCCAATGTTTTACCTTCTGATCGCTATAATACTGCATTGGTAAGAGCCATTAACAGTTTAACTTGATTACTCTTTCCCATTTTTGTCTCATTTAACATTGTTTGTCAAAATTTTTGACTTAATATTAAGCAAAAACCTTAACATAAGTTAAAACCCATGATATAAGCCAAGCCTCTCAAGTAAAAAATTTGACGAAAGTTTTGTTCAATTGAATTATTGAAGTAATTATATGTTTGCATTTTTAGATTATTTAGATTGATATATTATTGTTTAATTTTTTGTAATTATCAATTTCTACATTGACTCCACCAGTCAGTATATATAATATTAACCATATTAAACAATATAGCTGAAGAAAGAATGGAAGATAGAAATGGTTATTTATCTTGGATTTCCAACGCTTGCAATCATTGATTATTGAAAAAAAGCTCGATTACAAGATGTAGCTAGCAGTTGGTATTTTTTCATAGCGTATGATTTTTGTAGTTGCTGTTGCCATTGCTATATATATCTTGGTTACAGGGGAATCTCTGCTTTCTTAAATTTCAGCAAAGGATCATTAACAAATGGTAATTTATTAATTAGATTTATTAGAATTCAATTTAATTAAAAGGTTGAATTAAAATCAATAAATTCCTGATAAAAAAGGTTTATCAAAAAGAAAGAAAGAAAATCAGAGTCCATTATACACACAGTAACAACGACACCGACAGCAGGAGCAGAAACCACACACACATTATAATGCTTTATTCCAACGACTGCAATAATTTATAATAATTTATAATAATTTATAATAATTTGGTAACAGTAAAAATTATTTATTTTATGTAATATTAAAACATCTTTGTTGTCAATTGTTTTTCGAAAAGATTTCATGTATGCATTTGGATGTAAGTATATTATTAACGGCTCTTATTATTATATAGAATCAATCATACTGAG